TCAACCTGTTGCCCTGGGTAGAGTGCCTTAGCATCACAGCTCACAGCAACCTCCAACTCCCGGGCTCAAGCAAGTCTCTTGCCTCAACCTTCCCAAGTAGCTGGGACTACAGGTGGCAGCCACAACCACTGTTGTTGTTTGGCAGGCCTGGGCTAGATTCAAACCCGTCAGCTCTGTTGTATGTGGCTGGTGCCTTAGCCACTTAAGCTATAGGTGCCAACCTGATAAGATTTTTTAAAGGGCAGAGTATAAACAGCTTGGTGTGAAAAATGAAAAGGTAAAACAAAATATCAGAGGATAGGGTGATGCCTGTGGCTCAGTGAGTGGGCATAGGCCCCATATACCAAGGGTAACCGGTTCAAACCCAGCCCTGGCAAAACTGCAACAAAAAAATAGCTGGGCATTGTAGCAGGCACCTATAGTCCCAGCTACTTGGGAGGCTGAGGCAAGAGAATCGCCTAAGCCCAGGAGTTGGAGGTTGCTATGAGCTGTGACACCACAGCGCTCTACTGAGGGCAATATAGTGAGACTCTATCTCTACAAAAAAAAAAAAATCAGAGGATAAAGATCAAGTAGTATGGGGTACCAAGCTAATGCATCTAAACTTCAGGATTTATAATTAAGTCTGAATCAGAATTAGCTAGAAGACACATGACTCAAGGATTTAGAAAAAAAAAATTGACATATGAAGTCATAAGCATAACACTAAGTGACTATAAAACAGCTTATATACAATTATACTCACTTGTAATCATTTAAACAATAGTCATCTTCCAGTTCCATGTTATTCCAAATTAAGTGCTGCTGACATATGGGAATACCTTAGGGGGAGGTTATAAAAAAAGTGTTAAAGAATTCAATAGCATCTTAAAAGAGTATGATACAAAGCTACTTCATTAAAGAACTAAGGGTACTAATAAACTAGACATATTTCTAAATTGACTCCTAGGTGCCTAGGTAAAATTTATAGACTCAGAAATAAAGGCATGGCTACCACTGGCCTAAAACAAAGCATAAGACAAAATACCACAAATCAGCCTTGAAGAGTTTAAGATTTAAGGCCTAGAAGACAGTGCTAAATGCAGCAAAGTGTAGATTACATTCAATTATATTCAGTGTTACAAGTCTATTATCAGCCAAATGCAGTGGCTCATTCCTGTATCCTAGTACTTTGGGAGACTGAGGTGGAATTGCTTGACACCAGGAATTCGAGACCTGTCTAAACAATACAGCAACACCATGTCTCTAAAAAAATAAAAATAAAAAATTAGCTCGTAGTCCCAGCTACTGGGGAAGGTAAGGAAGAAGAATAGCTCGAGTCCAGGAGTTTGAAGTTGCAGTGAACTATGATGACACCACTACACTCTAGCCTACGCAACACAGCAAGAGCCCCATGTCTGGGGGTGGGGGTGGCGGGGAGTGGCCCGGGGGGAGTATATTATGGACAATTTTTAACACTAAAAATTATAGTCTACAGGATAGTTTCTTTACAATTATGTGATGCTAAAAGAATATTAAGAACTGGGCAGCGCCTGTGGCTCGGTGAGTAGGGGCACCAGCTCCATGTATTGAGGGTGGTGTGTTCAAACCTAAAACAGCAACAACAACAATAACAACAAAATAACCGAGCATTCGTGGCGAGCGCCTATAGTCCCAGCTACTCGGGAGGCTGAAGCAAGAGAATCACCTAAGCCCAAGAGCTGGAGATGGCTGTGAGCTATGACGCCACAGCAGTCTACCAAGGGTAATAAAGTGTGTCTCCAAAAAAAAAAAAAAAAAAAAAAAGGATGTTAAGAACTAACCAACAAGCTCATGTGTGCACAAAGGGAAATAAAACACACTGGAAATCAAGCAGGGGAAGATGAGAAGGTAAAGGGTAAAAATCTACCTAATGAGTACAATGAACACTAGTTCGGAGATGGGCGTACTTAGCCATCATTTCAAAAGTGATCCAAATATTTGTTATATTTTAATATAACAATATTGATTGTGATGAAAATCTTTTTCAAATATCTCACATACTACCCTCTCAAACTGCATTTGCTTATGATACGAGAAAGTTATTAGAATAGTAACAGTTAACATGTGTTAGTTTTTTTTTTTTCTTTGAGACAGAATCTCAAGCTGTCACCCTGGGTAGAGTGCCATGGTGTCACAGCTCACAGCCACCTCAGAGTCTTGGGTTTAAGCAATTCTCTTGCCTCAGCCTCCTGCTGGGATTATAGGTACCCACTACAGAGCCTGGCTATTTTCTGGTTATAGTTGTCATTGTTGTTTGGCAGGCCTGCGCTGGATTCAAACCCGCCAGCTCCAGTGTATGTGGCTGCTGCCCTGACCACTGAGCTACAGGCACTGAGCCTATTAGCTATTATTATAATAAGCCAGGCACTGTTACATTCATTTGACTTATGTTATCACAATTTAACTGTAACAACAATCTTGTGAAGTAGGCATCAACAGTACCGGCATATCACAGGTGATAAAACCAAAGCACAGCAAGAACACATGATGTGAAGCCCCAGCCCCAGCAGCTCAGAGACTGCACTCAACCTTTTTATGCTAATCACTCTCTAGAAAATCAGCCTCCAGAAAGCAAAAGTAGCTGTCTGGGGATATGTTTCAGGAGTGTAGCCTGTTAGTAGACCTGAATGTCTACTAAATGTTCACCAAATGTTCTCTAATATCACTATGAATTACAGACCACAGGCGCCTAAGGGGTAGATATATCTCCCAAATTGAACAGTCCACTTCTTTTGCTCCTGGCTGAAAGACAATGCGAGTAAGGAAAGATTTTTAAGCTAGAAATTATTTCACTTTAAAAAATTTTTTTATTTAAAAAAATTTAAATGTATCAAGGTTATCTTCTTAATCAAGCTGATAGGATTTCTTTAGCATAACTAGATGAAGCAATTTGGGCAAGTACCCCCATGTTAATATTTAATCAACTTTGAATATAATAGTAATATAACAGTAACAATATTGCTTTGGCACAACTATTTTTTTTTTTTTTTTTTTTTTTT